ACCACTCAAACTTTACAGACTGGTGCAAGAAGTTTCCTAAACACATTCACTATCATAAAAATGACTTCTCATTCTTATCTCCAATGTGACTAATAAAAATGTCTGAATTAGCAGAAAAATCTGGTATTAAAGCAGTAGACCATAACAGTAAATGTATGATGAAAACCCAGCATACTTTTTATTGGTATGATTTTCTGACTAGCATCTTCTGAGACGGTTCAGAAGACACAGAAGCTAAACACATCGTATGAAACGAAATTAAAAGCAGTCTGACATAATAGCAAATAACATAAGACAGAGAATATCAAGTATCACCTGAATATCCAGGTGATATCTAATACACTTACATTCTTGCTCATTCACTTGGCATTTACAACATTTTTCCAGAGACGTGTTTTATACAATTTTTTTTTAATGTAGAGAACAAACCCAGCCTAAATCAATAGACAGTGAAGAGCAATCAGTAGGCAATGAGGAATACATTCTTAAAACAAAAATCAACTTGATGACGTTAATGTTCAGACACTGAAATATGAACACCAAGAAGGCAATGAGAACTACAGGTGCTCAGCATCTCTCTTAACAAGAAAACTAAGGCAATTTTTTTTTTTTTTTTTCCAAATCCAAATAACAGAGGTAGATTTTGGAAATCCGGAAACAAACATGCTGGCTAATAACAAGTCAGACTCTTAGTGTCTGAATTGAAAGATAACAATTCGCTTACAGTTTCCCCATTCTCAGTTATGATCTTAGAAGCACACCCAACTTTTTTTTTTTTTTTTAATCTTCTTCAGTGGTATAGCAATTAGTTAAGGCATTGAAACACTGATGTGAGAAGGCTCAGGGACATTTTAAGATTATTGTACTTGCATATTTTACTACTTGAGGGAAGTTCAAGGATGTCTTTTCAACTTTAAACCTTTGCTATCTGTTTTCTTACTTCTACGTTAACTGAAGTGGAATTTTTGTGTTATTCCAGGTAGGAAAGGCAGTGAGGAAAAAAAGTCTTCCCTTGGGGCAGTATAAACGTAGTAGGAAAAATACTAACATTAATTAAAATATCAGAAACCAGGTAATATAAAAAAGCCTGTGCAGCCCAGGATTTTCTACCACTTGATTACAAAGGACATGCTCCCAGCTCTAGTCTTTTATTAATTTTTCTTTCCCAATTCTTGAGGGTAGAGAAGACAGAAAGCAGAATAATGTAGTAAAGAAGAAGTCTAGGCTAGACAAATCCCTTAAGGCAAAAGCATAAAATTTGAAGTTCAAGGTACTAAACCCACAACATGACATAGCCAAATTCTGCCCTCAAACGTCAACAGCCAACATAGAATTTTAATGAGAAATAGATGGATATACATGAATCAAGTTCAACAACTGCAAGTCCTCAAGAGAAAATACTGACCCACATATTTTCTCATTTTACAAGCCCTTTCACATGGCTGTCTCCAAGGCACATCCACACAAGCAATGGGGTTAGCACATCTTACTAGTCTACCACCTGTCAGCCTCACAGTAACTCAGTGTGCATGCTGAAGCCTGTCCCAGCTGCAAAGTAAAACAGGTTAATTTACATCACACACACTATATTAATTTACTTTACTCTGCAAGCAAGAAAGGCAGGAGCCTGCATACAGTCAGTTATCTCAGCTGACTGGCTGTGATTTCACATGATGTGCAAGCTCTATTGCTTGAAATCAAGCAATCATACTCCTACTTCTTAAGAGGATGAAAGATGAACAAAAGCTTGAATGCTTAAGAGTATCAGCTGTCCAAAACTGCAAACAGTATCACTGCAATCCAGTCATTTTTGGTTGTGGTACAGCAGGCAAGCACGGTCACTGTACAGTGGGAGTCAGGAAGCAATTTCAAAATAAATTCAGATATTCAACTTAGAAATGGCAGGCAAAGGTAACAAGCTTTAAAACCCTTATAAAATACACTGAGCTGCAGTATTACAGCACCATATTCCTATAGGAGGAAGGGAGGCTGAACCAAACAGATTTTGATTTCTGCAGTTAGGTAAAATACATTCTCCAAGGAAACAATACCGAAGGAGCACTAAATTTTCATTTTCTCAGTGAGTTTAGTCACTGAACATCTTTCAAATTATTTTTTTGTTTTGTTCTCTTTTCAAAGCTCCGGTGATCATAAAAAAACATGAAATGCCAAACTGGACTCTGTTGTTTGGAAACAAATGCTGTTAATGCTGGCACTGCATGTTTCCATAAACTAGTTTCACCAATCAAACTGTAAGATTTTTGCCCAAAGAATACTATAACAACTTACAAGCATTTATATGCATCTTTGGATGCTACATGTTATCACAGATTTGACTAAAACACATGGCTGAGCCTGTGCACATGCTTGAGCCCTTTGAAGCTTAAAACCACGCTACCAAAACAGGGGTTAAACATAGCTTTACCCAAACCTTCTCAAATGTACAAACTAAACCAAAACAGTGCTAAAAGCCTTGATGGCCAGATGGATCTACGATCTGCCCTGACACACAACAGAAGCAGCTTGCAGTTGATGTGAAACACAATGCTTCCCCTTTTACCCAGGGTTCGAAGGTAAGAAGACACTTCACCTGCTCTTACTGCTCTAAAATCAGCCTGGACACAGAAAATACTTTAAATCATTAAGACTGAAGTACAATGCATCAATCACTACTAATAAAATTAAGGTGTTCACTTCTTGCAACACAGTTCCTTGATTCTATTAATTTTTCTCCCTGTTGGCCCAAGTTCTCTTGTTTCCATTTCTGTGTCTCCTGAATATCACACTGACCTCTGCTCCCTGCATCCTATCAGACCCACGAGAACTGGGACAGCCTGTCACAGCTGAAGAAGACTGAAATCAGCTATTTGCTTTTACCAGCAAAAAAGTTACATTTTTTTTTTTAAAGTGTCAAATCATTTTTACAGCAATAAATTGCTCAGGATTTCAGAAAACACATCTTTGATTTTTTTTTAAATTTATGTGAGCATGGTTTGATCCAGCTGTACTTCTTGAAACATCGTCAAAATCTGACTAAGGTGCAACAGAAGGCTGATTAAGTCTATACTGGATGGTTGGCTCCTTCTCAAGAAGATTTTAATGCATTAGACTTCTTAAACACTACAGGATAAACTGCTAGTCTCCTTGCCAGGCATTAAATTATTCCCTTAGGATAACAGACCCTTTTCCCTTTCCACTCTGTCATGGTTTAACCCTCCTTGGGTCTTAAAAACACCTAAGAAATATAGCTCCCAATTCCCTCTTTGTAAATTTTCAGAGGCAGGTTAAGACAAGTGAAGTTACCCTTCTGCCCGGCTCTCTTCTGACATATAAATGCTCCCAAACGATTGTATGATATCAGTTTGTGCAATGTTATTTCTCAGCCTACTCTCAGTGCTATTTAAGGTGGGCTGGGTAAGAAACATATAATCAGTGAATTGGGACCTGATTCTTTTTTTCCCCATCCAGTAAAGTAAGAAGATATGTAGAATAGAAAAGGATGGAGCGAGGAAAATTAGTCATTTAACATGAGAGCACTACATACTGAGTCTTGAAAAAGGATGCATGTTTGTACAGATTACCTACACTCTTACAGGTATCAAGGTTTTTTATTTTGTTGCCACCCGTTCAAAAGAAACCCCTAAGGCTAAAACAAACAAAAAGTCCAAAGGCACATGTGTGTGTGCATGTGAGGAAATCAGAAAGCACTGTTGCCACAGAGTTTCCAAAGCAAAAAAGTTACTGCTAATTTTTAAGAAAAGGATACCCTCCCTCCTCAATAGCCTATCAAACCATAAATTACTCATCCTATCCAGTTTCACACCTCTGTTTGGCACAGGTATGAACTGACAAGCATGACCAGCAATCCTTGCTGTGTCTGGCTCAAGAAAAAACCTGTACCAGCTGTGCACCAAAAATAAGGGCCTGAGCTACCTCTAAACACTGAGAATTTAAGAAACACAACATTCAGACCCTCAAAATCCTTTGAAATTCCCAGGAGGTCAAAGTACTTCTGAAATTAAAGGCTTTGTTGCTAATGCACCCATGTTCAAGAACATGACAATTCAATTCAAGAAATACGTGTGAAAAATGGAATTTAAACCTAAATATAGCAAGATCATATTCCTAACTTTCCCCAAGTATATTCCTTTGGAGACCATACATACTTGTGTTGCTTTTTTCCACCAGAAAGCTGACTACTTAAAATAACTGTCAGCTTTCTAAACAGTGATTAATTCCACCTGAGTTCTGTTCAAGAATATTACTAAATTTAACTGACAATGGGGAAATCTGCTGTTAATAGATGCTTTGCTTATTTTTTTAAAGCTCATGTTTATACACTGCTAAGCATGTGGCTTTTTTTCAAAAACTTGATTTTCATTATACAACTGAGTAGTCAACGCTTATAAACCACTGACCAAAGCTTTCCAACATGCAAGTATTTTATACCCATTTTTAATAGCTTAGTGCTCTGGGAAGCTCAATGGTGTTTTTTGGGGTGCTATTTACTAGATTTCAGGAGACTACCTGGCAAGGAGAGGACATGGAAAGCTTCCATTCACTTCTCAGCCAGAACCTGCAGATTCAATTCCACGGTTCTATATCCCAGGTCTGGTGTATAAAAGTAACCTGTTTGTCATCTTACTGCCCCAGAAGCATGAGATTTACAAAGCCAAAGCAAAACTTCTCTGCACTAGACTTAAACAGAGGACCACCCTTTACAAGCTGCACATCAGTTTGGACTTACTACACTTGCTCTACCTGCTCCTTCCACATGGAAAACACAGACAAGCCTCTCATTGCAGTTCGCTCCCCATTAACTTCTGCCTTTAGTATGAGACTCCCATTGCTTTTTCCACGTTGGCGTCACGAAAACATGCTTTAATTTCACAGAGGGCACGGCACTACCACACCTCTGCCATGCCCTGGTAGGCCCCTGCTCCCTCCCTTCCCTCCACCTCACGGCCCGTGATGGCGCCCGCGGGCCGAACCCCACTCACCCTCGCGGCGGGGGACGGCGAGCGCGGGCCGCCTCCCCGCCGCCATAGCCCCGGCGCTGCCGGCGGGGAGCCACCGCGCTTAGAGACACGGAGCCGGGACGCCTTAATGAGCTCCGGCCGCTGCCTCTCCCGTTAACGAGCTGCTCCTGAGGGCCGGCCGCTCCCCCACGCCCTCCCCGCCCCGCGGGGCCCGCCGCGGCCCCCACTCAGCCCAGCTGGTCCCCAGTGCCGCCCGCCCGGCCCCTGGACTCCCCCTCAGGGGCGGCTCACAGCCCTCCCAGCTGACTAGGGACTAGTAGTGACTGCGTGGTAACTACTAATAACTACTAGTAGCTGCCTCATAGCTGCCCGGTAACTACCCAATGACTACTAATAACTATCAGCCTAGTATCTGCCTCGCAACTGCCTTGTAACTACTAGTACCTGTAGCTAGCCCGCTAGCTACTAGTAAGAGCCTAGTAGCTGCTGAATAACTACTAGTAAAAGTCTCATAACATTGTAATAACCGCCTGGTAACTACTAGTAACACCTTAGTGGCTGCCTATTATCAGCCTAGCAACTAGTAACTGCAGGTCGCTCCCGTGGGTGGCTCCTCTCTACCCCCAGCAGCAAAAACACCCCCAAAATCTGCTAAATTGCTGCCAAACCACCAGCTGGCCCTTCCCGTGATCACCCCATCAGTCGGCCCCCCCCCCCTTCAAGGTCTGAATTCCCCTCAGCCCCCATCACACCCCACCACCCCAAATTTTCCTAACTGTCACCCCAAAAAGTTTAATTGGGATACAGGGCCTACCCTCGCACCACAGGTGATTACATTTAACATTTCAAGCTGAATTATAATGACAGGATGGCTCCAAGGAACACCTGCCTAGGAGAGGTTTTTAACCCTCTCTTTTTTTCTTTTTTCTCTCTAACTCACATGTCTGAGTACTGCTTATCACAGTCCAAAACTGCAGCAACTATATTTGATAAAATTGTGCTTTGCATAAATTTTTAGAGGGCAGTAGAGGGTGCTGTTTGTTCTCTTGTTAGGAGGATGGGGCCACTTGTCCCTCCAGCCCAATATCCAAACAGATCCTAAGTGCAGAATAACCTGCTGATGAGGGGTCAGCCTTTCTTGGTGCTCCAAAATTGGTGTGCATCTCCGGCTGGCTTTGAAATTCAATGTGTTTCCAAGGGTTTGAGGGTGCATTCACTGCTCCAAATAGGTATCCAAGTGGGAATTGCTGTTATCTAGTATCTCTTGGCTCTCTCCAACTTTCCCAGTGTTTTCTCTTCAGATTGACAGTTTTACCACTATATTTTTGCACACAGAGGGGTCTGAAACTGTGGCCCAGTGGTACCGGGGATGTGATGTGCAGCCAGATTGCTGATCTCCTGTATGACTCAGCTGAGCACACACCATGGTGGCATTCTCTGGGCTGGAAGGGGAGAAATGAGACTTTTGTTATGCTCTGTCTCAGTCAAACTGTGGGGTTTGTTATGCTCTGAAGGTGTGATGGGTGCATTCTGCTGGGTGCACCACAGATGTCTGCCTGTGCAGAGACCTGGTCTTTTGTAACTCTGTCCTAGAAGGACTTTAATCCATTGGTTTTAGCTGGCTATTTTGGAAATGTATAGTCTTTGTTATAATTATATTCTTTGTTATTCTATTCTATTCTATTCTATTCTATTCTATTCTATTCTATTCTATTCTATTCTATTCTATTCTATTCTATTCTATTCTATTCTTTTTTTTACTGGGAATCAGAAACAGTGTTTAGTGTGATTAATGACTGCATTCAATATAGCCACACTCCAATTTGTGTTTATGTGAAAAAAAAAACCAAAACAAAACAAAACAGCACCTAATTTTGAGGTGCTAAAGTACTTCTGGTAAATATATGTATCTAAAAGGTGCTTACACCAAGGAGAATTAAACATGGGTAACAGATAAGACCAGAGCATCCTAACAAGTATGACAAAAGTAGAGCATTGCAATTAAAATTGTAATTGCTTGTTTGATCCGATTGCCTGTAGTGACTTTTCTATGCTGCTCAGCATAAACTCTGGGAGGTTTGTGCTGACAGATCTGAAATGGCTCTGGCCCTCCTCAGGATGAGTGGAGGAGTCTGGTTGTTTGGAAATATTGCTCATAATCACACGAACAGCCAGATTAGCCTGAATTATGGCATTGTCGTTTGATAGTGTTTGTGCTTGGCATACTCAGGCAAACTATAACACAGGATATTTGTGCTGAAGTGTAATACCATACTTCATTTGCAGGCAAGGAATGTTGCCAGGAGCTTTTAGTGGAAGATGCTGAGCAGTTCTGTAACTGTCTTGAAGAGCACAACGATACTTCCCACTGTCTTGGCATGGTAAAGCATTTCTTTTACAGTCATGGGATGCACAGGAATTACCCTTTTTACCCTCTTTATCTCTCTGCACCTCACTTTCCCTGTTAATCAGACAGGTTTTTCTGTGCAGTACAGAGGTGTGGGAAGAGGTTTGCAAACATTAATATCTGTGCTGTGTTTAGAGATCCAGGCAGAAATAGCATCAGGTTTCCTAGGGGAAGGTGAGAATAGCAGGAGCCAGCCCCACGAAGTGCTATTAAATGACAAAAAAAATGCTGAATGACAATGATTCAGATTCCATGGCAAGGTTCACTCTTATACATGGAGATCTTCCCTTGCATCTCCCCAAACATGTACTGCCTGCTGGGGGCAGAGAGCAAAACCAGGGCCTGACTTCTCATGGGTTTGGTCTTTCTGGTGGACCCTCCTTTTCCACTCAGGTGGCTCAAATTCCCCCATCTCTTCCACAGCTGAGCATTGGAGGTGGGGAGAGCTCTCAAATGCAGTGCCATTTCAAAGAGGTTTAGTACATCCAAAATTGTACAAGTATCTAAGATGTTCTGCTTGCTTCCACAGCCCGTGCTGAATTGCCATTGTCCTTCCAGTTCCTTCCACGCTGCTCCATGCACCCACTGCTGCTGGCATTTGGGAAGTGACTCCCCTTTTCCAGGCTCTGGTGACAACAGAGGATGCTGAGAATTTCAAGGCATCTGTTTCACTGTTATCCCTGCCTCTAAATGTGCCATCCATCTCCTAGAGAGTAAAAATAAAGCAGCATTGTTTAATTTTTGGAAAAAGCCAGATGACAGTGGAAGCAGTCAGAAATATGCATACCAGCCTTCCCTGTCCCACTGTCTCAGCTGTTGCTTCCTGAGAGACAGAAGCATGTGGTTGCTAAAAATACCCTGCAAAGAGAATACATTCTCCCTCCAGTGGGAGAGTATAAATTAATCTGAGTCGTAACATATACAACTGCTTGTGGCTGGGAGAGACAATTCCAAACGTGTTTTTTTGAGAGGGGTTTCCTAATGAAGCAGCAGTCCCAGCTCTGTGCCTTCCCTGCATAGGTCGGCGATACTGCATGAAGGATCTTTGCCTCCTGCCTCTCCTGCTCCCACCCCCTTGCCCTCCTATGGGAAACAGTGTGTCCGGGGGTGGGGGGAGACCAGCCCTTTTATAAGCCTGGTCTTGCGGCAAGTCGAAGTTGACAGGAGTGACAGGAGATTTGGCTTGCTCCGAGATACCCACCTCCCAAGCCTTGGGGTCCCTGGGATGACCAAAGGGGGAATGGAGTCAGTCGAAGTGTTCACATCTGAAGGCAAAGGCAGGGGCTTGAAAGCCCAGAAGGAATTCTTGCCTGGGGATGTCATCTTTGCGGAGCCAGCCTATGCAGCCGTTGTTTTTGATAGGTAAGAGAAAAGCACTTGTAAAACACAGAGCAAAAGTAATCTTGATGCAGAATTTCATCCGTCGGGGTGAGTAAAAGTTTGAAAGTATCTGGACAACATCAGAGCAGGGTGCAAAGGGAAGTCAGAAGCATTTCTGTAAAGACACGCTCGCAGCTTACAGAGAATGTGCTTTCCTAGGGCTCAGATCAGCTTTTTTACTTTTAATATGGCGCAATCTGTTTCCAGGATACGATCTTGCAGGGTGTGTGGTACCGTCAGCTTCTACCAAATGTGGTGAAAATTGTGTGTATTCAGCGCCTCACAAAACTGGCCCCATGTTATGCTCCGGTGAACTGCCAGGCGTTAGTGTAATTCAGGTACAACGGTCTCAAACTGACTTTGCTGAAGGCTCCAACATATTATGTATGATAAAAGTGAGTTACATTGTGCTCTGCTCACATGTACCACCTCCCAGCTGTATGGTCAGCATCATGGCCTGCTGGGTTCAAAGAAGCTAGTGGGGATCTGCGAGTGATATTGTTTCTGTTAAAGTGATTTTATATTTATAGCTAGCTGAGTTAACTGGAGACAAGTTTCTGCTTTCAATCTTGCACAGGACTGGTTTTCAACATTTGTTCACATTGATGTAGCAAGAAACCGAATTCTTGTGCAAACACATTTTTCTTTTCTGCTGCTCGTTTCGAGGATGATTGACATTTGATCAGCCAGCGTGGCTGGTAGATGCCCACTTTTGCCCTTCAAACTGGTGCAAGATTCACTTAAATACCCTGAAAGCTAACAGACACAAAGAACCAATTTCTATGTTAATCTCCCTTGGGATAAATCTAGAATAAAGCCTCAGACATTAATGGAATTTGTTCAGCCTTATAATGCACTGAGAATAGAATTTGGCCCAAGCTTTTAAACCAAGGAGCTAGATGTTGGCTGAAGGTTTCATTATGGGTTTAGGAAATTTGTGACCATTCTTCAAGGGCGTCATACTGAGTCTCGAGACTGAATTTTTTGCCCCAAACTGCCAGTGACTTTAGTGAATATTCTGCACACTAAATGGGGTGAGTGATTCTGTCTAGTTGAGCTTTCCCTGATTGAATCAGCATCACTAACAAAGTCTGGGGCACAAGCAGAGCTCATGCTGCTGTTTTAATTCTGGTCATCTTGCAGCTGAAGCTGGTTCATGCTACTGTGCAATCTCAAAATAGCAGAGATTTGAGGATTAAGTGGACAGAGCAGGAAATAATTTTTTTTGTGTCTTTCATTCACTTTTTCCTTGTCCTTATACTGTCAGTGGGCAAACATGTTTATGAATCGTTACAACAGCAGCAGTGACACTTTTTAGTTTTTATTTGAATATGTCATTGCAAGAGCCAACATTAAAAAATGTCATTTTTTTTATTTAAAATTGTTAAGTTATTGAATTCTTAACCCTGAGCTCAATTACAGTAGTTAGTGACAAAACCATCTCTCCTTGACGTGTCCTTTTAGCTCTTGTACTTCAGTTTCACTTGTGTCACTAGCTGGAATTTTGCTGCAATACTGTGTTTGCTTTGGAAGTTCCTATGGACAATTATTTCTCCCATATGCCTTATTAAAAATACTAATCATATTTTAAACCATTGAAAACATTTTGCCTTTTGATTGCTAGTTGAAAATTTTTGTCTTCTATGTGAAATGTTGGGAACATCAATCATAGAGTAGAGCTGCCCATGTTGAAGAGCTACAACTTCACTGCATTTTCAAATGTCACTTGTGTAATGTGAGATAAGGGGAGAAGCTAGCACCACATTGGCTCTTAGACTGCAGACTGTGTCTTAGCCTTAGGTTTCCAACAGAAAACCTCAGCTGGGGAGAGATATGCTTCCTTCCCTCCCCAGGCTGCGTTTGTTTAGCTCCCAGAGGACAGATCCAGGCATTGAGCAGCAAGGGGGTAAGGTAAACACATCCCTTCTCTGCAGCTGCGGTGGATGGGGGCGGCTTCAGTCATTCTTATCTCTCTGCTTCTTCTTCATGCTGCTGTGCAATAATAACAGACTCTTACCCTCCTGTGGCACATTTCATCCCAAAGCACGTCATATATGTCAGTGGTGAAATGCATTCCCCAAATCTCCAAAACAAGCGGTGCCAACTAAATACTTGTTGGTTAGGGCTCAGCAGGGAATATCTTGGGCCTGAGATATAATGGAAACATGCATTTTTCTTTTGAAAACTGCTCTGATGTTTTTCGCACACACACAGGGCTTTGTTTTTGAAGGTACCTTCTACCACTGTCTTGGGGTATTAAATTGCATATAGCCCCCATTGAACTGATTGCTGTCAAAGAGAGGTAGCCTGGATCCTTGAAGGACCTGCAAGAATAAATCTACACTAGGCCATGGTGGACGTTTTGCTCTGAAAGAACTGCTGTTGCCTCTGCGTGGATGAAGAGTCCAATGAAGAGGCATGTGTTTTTCCATGCCTGAAAACAAGCATTTATAGGTCCTAAAACTGTTGTTGAACCTACATTGTAAAAAATGATCTCACTCTGCATTGGAAAACCCAAAGTCCAGAGTCCATCATGCTAATTCCACTGAGCATCTTCATGTCTTACTGAAAGCAATGTATATGTGCACTATGGAAAGGGGATTCCAATACGGGTGATTGGTAAGTTTAATTTTTCAGCTCAGGTCCTACTAAATAGGTGACCAGAGTTTCCACAGAGCTCTGCTTTCTCTGTGTACAAAGGCCACCATGGAAGCACAACAGTGCAGAGTAGTTGGAAACGTTGGTCTGTACTTTGTAGCCTTTTGAGCTTAGTTCTTTGGGAAGTCTGTTCCCAGTGTGGATGCTGAGCCCCTGAATTGCTGCCTCTGATTTTGCTGTTGAAACCAACTTCTGTGTGGATGTCCATCATACTGCAGTGACCACACTGCAGTCTTCTGTGTGACTACATGTGATGTGGCAACACAGCAGGTGAAGCAATGGTCTCTTTTTCAGTTTAGTAGGAGCAGCTCTTCAGAGATACAACATAGTTTTCCTGGTGTGCCTGTATTGCAGGATGGAAAACAGCTTGTGTTTGTGCCCAGGCACAAAGCTGTCATGAGATGGGAAGACTTACTGCTTGGAAATGGGGGAGCCCCATATAAGTTGATCATCCTTTGACCTGGTGAAGGACATAATTATGAAATGACAATTTTGCTTTATTTGCTGAAGGTGTTTAACTTCAGGTGTCTAAGTGAGAAACTCCTCCATAGTGTTGTTGCATAGCAGAAACCTACATTTTGTATTCTGAAAGACTATCAGCAGAACAAACCTCTTTGCCCTGACTGTACAGCGACCTAGAGAGCCTGAACAGCTAATTTTGACCCCTGGTATTAGATGCTCACTGCAGAAAGTGTGGGAACCCTTTAGTCTTAAATGATGCAAGCGCCTTACTCCATATATTGATGTGAGGAATTGCAGAAGCAATTTTAACCTGCGGCTGTCACCCACCTGCACTTTATGAATGTCTGTCTTTCAGTAGGAGGCTGTTTGAGGAAGTGTTGAGAAATTTAATTTGCTAGCAAAAGGAAAAATGTTTGCTTTAACAAAACTCTATAACCAGCCATCATACTTTGAGCAAATAAGACCCACCAGTTTAACTGAATCAACCTACAGAGTGATGTGAAGGTTTGACCAGCATTATTCTTTGGGATTCAGTTTGCAAATTAAGATATTCAAAACTAAGGGCTGTTATAAATGTGTACATAGGACGAAGGGCAGAATTCAGTTGTCATAGCTGTTTAGTGTCATTTGAGATGGCCCAGGGTGTCTGAGACGTCTTCTTAGGGCTGACAGGTACAAACCAGGATTTATGAGAATCAGGCCTCCTCTCAGACCAGATGGGTGTCCCTGCTGAGCCTAAAATAACACAAGGTTCCTGTGTCCTGGCAAGTGAATCCATCCCTAAATGCCCGTTGTAATCAATGGACCACTATAATGTGCACCGAACACAGACACCTACCTTTGAGCTGAATGACTTTCCAGACCCTGTGGAATGGAATCTCTACTTAGACACTGAGGATACAGATGAACACATCTAGGTGTCTAAATCTGCAGACTGCATCCCACCCTGGAAGCCCCTGGAGGTCACTGCAGGTCCCTGAAGTCATTAAGACTGGTGAGGGCTTGTGCTGTTCAACAAAATGATGGTCATTTGAGCAGCAGTTTCTTACCCAGTGCCAGAGACTTTAGTCCAGAAGTACATAAAACTCAAAGTGAACCTAAAGAAGGTTCCTACAGATATCAGCCAGCTCATAGATTTTAAGGCCAGGGTATAACTCACAGGGCTAACCCTGCTCATTGCAGTGGGGTTGGACTAAATGACCTTTAAAGATCCCTTCCAACCCAAACCATTCTATGATTTTATGATTCTATAAACTTTTTCTTAACACAGTGGTTACCTGGCATTGACACCTGCATTAAGCCTGTTACTTCTACCTGAACTAGAGCAGGCTGTTTAGGGAGACAGTGAATACTGATTGAAAGGGAGTGCAGATCTCTGTGTGATCTCTGGTATTTCGCTGTTTGGGTAAAGTGCAGACATACTCTCTAATCTGTGTTTAATCAACCTTGCTGTTATCAGCTGAAATAGCACTCTGAAAACACCAGTGTCAGGCCCACTTTGCCCTAGAATAGATGCAGAAGTTTGTAAATATACTAATATATTTTCTCAAGGAATTCTTTGCCTTTGTTAGGGTCATTTTTAATTTTGAAAAGTCCCTGTGCATTCCCTGTTGGCATTACCTCGCACTGAAGCTTGCTTTAGTGCTCTGCTTACATGCTGGGGTTTAATCCTTCCCTCCCACTTTGCTTTCTCTTTGAGGAGCCCAGGACTCCTTTCTTCACAGCCACCTTCAGGATGATGGCATTCCCATTGCCTGGGATCAACGTACAGTATGTGACCTTCTCTTCTGGCATGTCAGTTGGCTCTCAAGCCTGGAAGAGTTTGCATTTCCTATGGGCATGGGGATGCCTGATATATCTCTGTCAACCCACAGGCCAGTCAGTCTTGCCTCTATGCTTGGCAAGACCATGGAGCAGATTGTCCTGGAAACCATGCTAAGGCACATGGAAAATAGGAAGGTGATTGGTGACAGCTAACATGGCTTCACTAAGGGCAAAGTGTGCCTGACAAATTTGGTGGCCTTCTACCACAGGGTTACAGCCCTGGTGGATAAGGGAAGAGCAACTGATGTCATCTACCTGGACCTTGTTCTCCCAGATCAGTGAATGAGATGTTGGGATGCTGGATGGGAAATGGTTGGCAAATGTTTGGGTTATGCATGTCTCAGAGAAGAGATTAATATATTTCCTATGACAGCTCTTAGCCCCCTGTCCTGGCAGGTCCAACAGATCTTAATCCATCTGAATCGAATCCAAGCAGTCACAAGAGCTATTTGCTTCTTCTACTTTCACTGAGAGTTGTGCTTGCAGGAGCCATGGTTTAGTTGACAGTGCTCTGTCACCTCTTGCATTTGTTGGCTGGCATATTAAGTCATTGCTTTTGTGACTGTAGCTACGTCCAGGATTAGTAGTAGTTGTGCATCTCATTTATGTAACATCAGAGCTCATGAGCCCCTGAGAGTTCAGCTCGGTTGGTGCTTGGATGAGAGGCCAAGGAAACCTGAGGCTTCCAAGAAAGTATTTTAGTGAGTCAGTGGCACCTGCCCTCAAAGCCAGTCCTATATCCCTGCCCTGGCAAGGCTTGGATGGGCTGAAGAAATCACTGTGCTAATGAAGATCCTGCTTTTGGGCAGGGTGAAAAAAAAGAAATTCTCACTATGTGTGGAAGATGGCAGTGAATGAATGCCCAGAGATCATCCCAGAGGCCATGGTGTACATAGTCACAGCAGAAAGCAGTTGTACTGTCCCCATGTTAAAGCAAGGGAAGCTGATCTCTGAGTCTGTAAGGGTTCAGACTTTCAGGGCTCCAGGGCAAGTGCCGTATGTCTCTCCAGAAACCTTCAGTGCTGCCTGACCATGCAGTAGCCTGACCATGCAGGCATGGGTTGCTCTCTACAGGGAGAGGAAGCTCCATCCGGGCCACCTGGAGCCATTTTGGGTTGTGATAAACACTTTCTAGGTCAGACAGAGAAGGCCTTATAGATCAGTGATTTCCACAGGCTGAGAGACTTGGGTTTAACCTCAGGCTGCTCCCTCTGTCCTTGGGAGACCTTAACCATTGCAGAGGGATGGCTGTGGACCACTGCTAGTCTTTGGTGTTCTTAGTGTTGTCTACCTTCGGGACAGATGGTATCAGAGCATGTTGTAAGGTCCAGCTCTGGGGCCAAGGGAGAGCCCCCCTTTACCATCCCCATTCGGGGTGTCCAGCTCTGAGTGCCTCTGGGACAACAGGAGCTTGCATGAGTGCCTGGAGGCACCTGGGGGATTTAGATGCTTGTAGGGTCAGGCATTGCTCGAGCAATATTTGTTGAAGATTTAGGCAGTAGATCTCAAACACCTGTGTTTCCTGACTATTTCTTCTGCGCCAAGAGTTGAGTCCAAGTCTCTGGAGTCCTGGTAATGCACAATATCAATAAATCCAGTCTTCTTTTAAACCATTTTTAAGCAGGGAGGATTTCACAAGGGTTTTGTGAGAGATGTAGTATTTCTTATACCTACCCATCAGATTACGTATGAGTGAGTGTGCAGTTTCAACACCACGTGAACAGTTCCTTCATCTCCTCAGGAAGTCTCATATAACTTTTTTTTTTTTGTGCATTTCTGCATCTCCTTAGAAATGAGGGCTTTCCAGGGCTGACAGTAAGTTCCACTAGCGGGGTTTGCCTTGGAAACTCTGGACACCTCTGTTTGGGGACTTGGGTCTTTCTGCACCATATTCCCCTCCAACCTTCCTCTTTACAGGGAAATTTTAACCGCCTTTCTGCTTTCTGACTGCCCTCAAATCATGCAGGCAGCAGGAGGGAGCCTCATTCCCTGCACAAGATATCTCCCTATGCTTCCCGGCACAATGTACCCACGCGTTTTTTATCAGCTCTCTGGCTTTACTTTGCCTTACAAGGAGTGTAATCTCTCTTGCACCTCTCTACCCCCCCTGATTTGACAGCTGACAGAGCACAGCCTCGCATTTCTCACCAGCTCCCAGCTCTTTCATTTGACTTAATGGAACTGGCTGCATCCCCCTTCCCAGACACGTTCTCCCCCCTGCCCCATCCTGGGTGCTTAGCTTGTGTCAGGTTCCCTCCAGCACCACTCACTGTCATTTTCCAAAGCTCATTTTCACACATGGTTTTGTCTGCTGCAGGTTGTCCTGCTTTAAATCAATGTTCCTCTGCTTTAAATCAATGGCCCTCTTAATCCTGCAAGAGCCAAGGCACAGGGTGGATTTTGTCAGCAGCTCACACAATACTGCCAGAGGAATGAACGTACATTTTAAATGTACTGTGATAGATATAAATATGCATATGTATGTTTAAATATATATATATCTGTAAAGTGGAGAGGCAGGACAGTCTTGGGGCTGGGGACTCTGGGGCTGTGGGTATGATTCCTGTGTGCAGCACATCCTTCTCATCCAATCATCAATAAATTTTTTTATTTCCTTGTGCCTTATTTTCCTGAATGGGCTGTGTGTGATGATAATGTCCCCTTGGTAATGAAGCTTCTGTGGCCAGTGAGTCTTTTGCAATGAAGAGAACCTCTGTTCTGTGACCAGCAGTGTCTAAATGATGGGAATTTAAATTCTCCCATACTGTCCAGCCTGGCTGGAGGCAGAGGTAAAGCGGGCAGTTGCCTGGAGAAGCAGGCGGCTGGGGATACCAAATAAGGCAGGGAAAAGCCTTCTCTAGCAGCAAGGGGAGTCCCAAAGTTCTTTGGGCAGGAAACCAAAGTGTCTCCCCCTCCTTCCCAGTGAAGGAGCAAGCAGCTGGACATGTGAAATGGGCGGCATGGGGGAGGTCTCCTCTTGGTCTGGGACCCTGGACACTCTCAGAGGGAGGATATCAGGTTAGACTTCTTCATCACTATCCTCTAATATATTCTCCTGCCCAGTCCTTGGTTATAGTTACATACATACGATTCTAGGATGCTTCTTGGAAATCCTGTTTTGAACCCCTCAAGGAAAAAAACTACTTCTTTTGAAAAGTGTTTCCCAGTTATCCCATGACCATCTAACAGCAACCTCTCAGCTAGTTAAACCACAGAGCCAGGAGCAGGAATAGCTGGTGAAGAGCACTTACTGCTGCTGGCACCAGAGAAAGACACCTCAGGCTTTTGCATTTGGAGGAGAAATCTGCATCTCTAGCCCATTGGCAGGAATGCTTTAAGTGACCTAAAGAGCACAGTGCTAAAGCTGACGCCGGACTAAAGAGGGAGGACTTCATGCCCTGAGAGCAGATCACATCTTCATATCAAACACTGTGCTTATTATTTTAATGTTTAACAACACCCTTATTGGTAGCATATTCTGCACCCTCTGACCAGCACTCAGTTGTTGATGTTCTCAGCTCGGCAACATACCAGCCTTGTGTAAAGATGAATGATCCCCTGGATTTATTAATAAAAAATTATGGGGGTCATAAATACAAGTACTGCTCCCTAAACTTGTCATTACAGCCAGCCCACCCCATGTCCTACCCCAGCCAGTGCTTCTGCAAGCTCTTGAGGGTTCATCTTTCCTATGTCTTCTACTGTTTGGTGTTTTTGTCCATCCCTGAGCAGCTGAAAATCCACTTGTCCCTTGGCAATCATGCCTGGGGGTCTGCTGAGTAGCTGGAAGCCTGCCCTGGTCCCTCAGACCTTCACTAGTGCACACTGAGCATCCATCTGGAGTCACCAGGACGAGGAGAACCCCAAACCCACCCAGTCTGGGGCTCTCTGCTGCTGTCTCTTGATGGTGGATAGCCAGGAGACATGTACCACAACCAAAGGAAAGAGGAGAAGACATAAAGCACTCTATGGTGAGAAGATCTACCTTGAAGGAGGCTGTTCTATTGGCTTTCTCATGTAATTTCCAACACAATGCCACAATTGCTAAGTGCAACACCTTCAGTACAGCTACACATTTGGACCGGTGGCAAAAAGAAGTGACAAGCAAAGCTGCATTTTAATCCATGGAAATATAGCTTGGTTTCAAGCAGCCCAAACCCAGGGTTTCCCTATGCAACCACTTCAATCTATCAGTCTTCATTGTGATACACCTCTGGTCTTCTCACAAGTAGAGCATTTCTGATGTATATTTTTATCCCCACAACGTGCCTGCTTAGCAGAGCAGTTAGGATGGCTCAGAGCTGTGCTCCTGTTTGGTCCCCCTCACCCAATGTTTTCCCAAGTCTCTTGGGCGTGGTGGTGGTTGCTGTTCCATTTTGTGTCCTGGTCCATGTGGGGCCCAGGAATCATATTTCGGGATGGGGGTTAACTTGAGCAAAATTCAGAGGCTTTGCTGGCAGGTGAAGCTCTCAGGCTGGCTCTTTGCCTTTACATTCTTCTTTGTGCTCTCCTGAGACACAGACTGATTAGGCACCTGCTTTCTGCTCAGCAAATGGGTGGCTGGTGCTACAGCCCAGCCCAGACAGAATACAAAACCAGACTGAAAATCCTATTAACAGCAGTGGTGCTGAGGAAGAGCAGATGAGCTGCAGACAAGAGGGCTGAGAGCTGGGGAATGCTTTATTGCTATCCCACTTTAAACAAAATATTTGTCTCTTTGACGTAGCCAAACAGAAGAGCAACAGCACTGGGCAAGCACTCAAGGATTAAGCTGGGTGGGATGTTTCTTCATCCTCTCCAAAAAATCTCGAGGGGTCCATCCTTAGTGGCTGCAGAGAGCCCAGGGGCACAAAGCTGGCAGGACCCTTGCTGGGTGGAGCTGGCCCTTCACTGAGGTAAGAGCCAACGGGTCCTTCTGTCCTTCCAGCCTGACTCACGTCATCTGTCACACGTGCTTCAAACGGCAGGAGAGGCTCCACCGCTGTGGCCAGTGCAAGTTTGCCTACTACTGCGACCGGACCTGCCAGAGAGCAGCTTGGCTGAACCACAAAAATGAGTGCTCTGCCATCAAGAAACATGGCAAGGCACCTACCGAAAACATCAGGTGAGAGCTGGTTCCAGGGGCTGAGCCAGCAGCCTGGGGCAGTGGGAAAGGACAGGGTATCCCTTTGGAGGGTGGTGAGGAAGAGATGAGTGGCCTGATTTGGTCAGGATGGAGGTGGGAGGTGGTTTGGGAAAAGCCAGGAGCATCCCTGAGCTGAGGGGTGTGAGGCAGTTGTGCTCCTGCATTTTTTTTTGGTGGTGGGCCCCAAAAACTCTACTAGAGCTGAATGTGGTGAGGCAAACACCCACCCAGGGTGGTTTAGGAGGTGTGGGAAAGTGGAGAGTAGGTGAAAAATTAGAAGAGCAGTTGGGCTCTCCCCAAACTTATCTACAGGATAAATTGATTCGTATTCACATCCTGGCTCTGTCATAGGAAAATGAGAGGAATCCTCATGGAAATGAAAGCTGTTGTGGAGGGCTGGGGACCTGGGGCTCTGTATCACTTCTGCAGATGAGGACATAGATGCTGGGGAAAAACCCTGCGTCTTCCTCTCCTTCCAAAGCTCCAAATGGTGACCAGCTGTCAGCCACCAGATGCTGAGCCTGTCTCAGTCTGTCTGTCTGCACACAGTTTTCCACCCATGGAATGAATTCCAATGGTCCTTCAGTCCCTCTCCTAGCCCTGGGTGGTAGTGATGCTAACGCCTGGGGCTCTCTCCTGTCCAGGCTGGCTGCCCGCATCATGTGGAAGATAGAGAGGGAAGGCAGCGGGCTGGCAGAGGGCTGCCTGGTCTCCATCGATGACCTGCAGAACCACGTGGACAGCTTTAGTGAGGAGGAGAAGAAGGAGCTTCATGCCGATGTGGAGAGCTTCCTCGAATTTTGGCCACCCCAGAGCCAGCAGTTCGGCATGCAGTACATCTCCCACATATTCGGAGTGGTATGTTGGAGGGGTGAGATTGCAAATGGGGGGCTGCTTTTAATGCCAGCTTCCTGGAGAAAGTCTTCAACCAACATGAGCTGAGGATGCCCAAGTTCATCCCTCTCTTGCTCTTAAGAGGCCATATCGGCTGGGATAGCCAAGGCTAGCATTTGCTGCAGGCAGTTTGAATACTGCCCATTCCCCATCTGCATTACTTCTGCACCGACACTGGGAAACTGAAGTATGTCAAGGGCAAGGTCTGAAATATTTTCTTTGTCTAAACATGTAGGCAAGTGGCTCACTCAGCCATAGGTGCTGCATTGTCGTCACGAGTCCCACTGGGTATCTCTCTGCACCTGGGAGAGCTGAGAAAATCTATTTAAATACAGTTTTAGTAAATATACTTGGAATATATTTGACTACAGCAGATCTGGTTTAGTATAAACATTAATGTCTATTATATACTCTGTGCATTAGATTTTTATATGTATATTAAAAATATACTTATATGTTTATATATAATGAAAATAAGTAAAATATACTAAATAGATTTAATAATATCCATTACTAACTTGTTAACTACAAATTTTGTTCTCAGTGTAGCAGAGAGGGAAATTCCCAGAAGCCAGTTCAGGCTGAGCTGCTCTGCCCCCAGTCCCGGTACAAGTCAGTGTATCCTGGGCTGCACTAGCCCCTCGGCTAGTAACACTGCCCAGGGTGCCAGGGTGAGCTGAGACAAGACTCACGCTCTGCTCGCACCTCTGGTGATGGCTGGGGTGGCAGAGAAGTCGGCTTTGCCAGTCCTAGCACGGGGAGGGGACACAGCATCCTTTGGTACCCACTCTGCAAAGAAAATTCAGTCCACTGCGTGCAGGGAGACCTATGTACTAGTCACTGGACATAACTTGCCCATGTAGAAGTATGGAAGTACAGATGAAATAAAGAATCAGTTAGGGAAGGAAATAAAATTATTAACAGACTAAAATAATTAGCAGCCAAGTTAGTTCTTTCCTTTGGTATGTCCTATCACATTGTCTCTTTGCAAATACTTCCTTTGTTTATGTTTGGAGCTGAAAACTATACTGTTCATATGTGATAATAATGTACCATGTAGCAAAGTATAATAATTTATTCCTGGCCTATATGTCACCCAAAAGTAGTCATACTGAAAATTATCTGGGACTTATAACAAACAGGAGTAATTGTTTTTTATAATCTCTGTAGGCTACCCAGCAAACATGACCAGGTTGAATGCAGCTCTCAAGGTTAATTTCTAACTGATGCCTCTTTCAATATGTGTGAACTTTGCTTTTTGCCGATGCTGTGCTTGAATTGACTCTAATTCATTTTCCTGTGACCTTTTTCTGAATTATCTGCAGGAAGCGAATGTAAGGAAACCAATACATGGTCAAACCAAATTTATTTTAGACATCCAGAATGGATATTAACAGCAAATATTCTGCAGCATTTACTCAGCTCTGCTCTGAGTTGGTGCATCTGCATGAGTCCTGCTTTGCTTCTCTTCTGATCTTTTATCCCAACTAAAGATGTTTTTTCTACAACTACCTTCTGCAAGGATCTCGTAGGCACTCCTTTCTCCTTAAAGTTTGGAGTTGGGATGCTGGAGATACACTTCTTCTAAAGCATCAGTGGGAACTGAGAAATCCTGAATGGAGCTGAGTTCAGCTTTTTCTCCTTTAATGATTCTTCCTGCCTATGTTTTGGGATTAGATCAACTGCAACGGCTTTACCCTCAGTGACCAACGAGGACTACAGGCTGTTGGTGTGGGAATCTTCCCCAATCTCTGCCAGGCCAACCATGACTGCTGGCCCAACTGCACCGTCATCTTCAACAACGGCAAGTGAGTGGATTTCTTTCCTCGGGCGCAGCGGGGTTGCATCCTAAGGGGCAACTCAGCAGACTCTGTTAACCCCACAGTGTCAGATCCCTGCCCCAGAAAATCTATTCTTTCTTGTTTCTTTCTCTAGCTCAGAACAACAACAACAACAAACAAACAAACAAAAAAAATTAGGGTTTTATTTCTAAAGAGGAACTGTTTTCTCTCTCATTATTGTTATTTTAAAAATTATTGTCTGATTCACTAAACAAATACACAAGATTGAACCCCCAATCCAGTGAACCAGCAAAGAATTTTTCCCTGGTTTCTGTGAGTTTTGAAACCAGACTCAAAATAGATATATAAAGTACTAAGCATCTGCTTAGATCATCCCTTATGTTGAGGCTTAATTTATAAATAGATAAGGAACAATTATGGTTAATAATTTTTTAAAGATTATACCGAGTCCACAGTCCAAGAGTTTCTCATAACTGAAGCTTGCAATCAGCTATGTATCACTCTCTGCTGATGTGTTTATAACCCTTCCTAACACAACCCTCATCTTTGTGAGAGTGTATCATCTCTATTAATCACTAATTAACTCTTTAGCAATGGGATCTTAATGACAGTTGTGACTGTTATCTGCAAAGTGCAGGATGCCCTAAGCCGCTGGGCATTCCCCATTCCCACCCAAGTCCTGTAAGAAAACTTCTGCGGGACAAGTGAGGTGGAAAGAGATTAAATGGGAAATGCAGGGATGTTTCAACAGAGCTGGGAGTGGAGGCTGCTGCTCTCAGTGCTCCGGGCATCCAGGGAGGGATGCGCTGCCCTTCCCAGCCTCCAGGCCATAACAGGTATAAACTGCTGCTGATCCAGCAAGTTGCATCATGTGCAAGGCATTATCTGTGGGAACTGCTTGCCAAAAACTGTACAGCCATAGTATTTCATCCAAATTTTCCGCTAAGATTTTACAAATTCTCATGTTCACCAAATTTTAGTGCTCTAAATTAATCCCCTCAGCCTCCCCTTCTCTAACTAACACGTTGCTTGCGCACTCCAGTTATCACTGCTGGTTTTACCTGGTAAAACTATACCAGCATTTATCAAGCAGTTGATAAACGAGCAAAGAGAAAACAAAACTGCATTAGTATAATTACCTTGGTGGGAAATAGAGTCTGATCCAAAGCCAGATCGGAGTCTGTGCTCTGATACACAATTGCCCTGGATCAGATCCATAGTGGGATGTTGGAGAGCCTCTCCAGCCAGCCTGGGAAGTGGAGGAGGTAACTAGCAGTGATAGGAACTCTGGAGTCTGAGTTTCTGGGCGGTAAGTAGAGGAATGGCATTTTGTTTGCCTGGCAGCTTGTCGAAGCTCCCACATGTATCCTGTTACTGACTTTAAACTTGACCATCTGGTTATTGGCTGGGTAAATTATGAAGGTTTCTTGTCTTTCTGTGGAAAGTCCTTGTTGTGGGAACTGATCTCACTCTCAGAACTCAGGGCACAATACTGGACTTGAGGACCCACTAAAGTCATCACACAGAGCACAGTCCTTGTTGCTGATATCCCAATCTGATTTCCATTTCAAGCTGTGTTTTAGAGAGCACGAGTACTGATGCCAGCAGAGACATTTCTGTGCAGGAGAACTAGCCCCCCTCTGCCTGTCAAAGGTTGGAAGCAGATTTTGCACACCCCTGGCTGAGACCACTCCTAAAATCAGAGTGCTGGGACAGTTCTCCATGGCCCAGTGGGGGCAATTCGGTTATGGTAGCTGCACAGCAAAAGTGGAGCTTTCATGCAGTGAAATGTGAGCCAGGCACAGGGAACACCCTTGTCTCCCATCAGGACAAAGACTCAATGCCCTACACCATATACCCATTTTTTTTTGTTGTTGTTGTACTTGTACCTGTGTAAACTGCAGATGTTTGTTTTGTCTTTCAGTCATGAGGCTGTAAGATCAATGTTCCACACACAGATGAGGTGGGTCGGTCTTGAAATCATCATCCTCCCCCCTTGCCCTGTACCCCTCACGCCCCGTCTTTAATGGAAAAGCTGCAAACAGCCAAGGGGCTCCCTCTGTTTGTAGAAAATTTCACTTCCCCATTTTCTGAACTTCTACTCCTCCCCTGTGTAAAGCCCCACTAAACCCAAACTTCACTTAACTCTGAATTTTGTAGTAAATTAAAACAATAGTAGTAATAGTGTGACTGTCTCCCCCACTGTAAATTCCCTCTCTTCCTTCCTTCCCTCTCCCTTGCCTTCTTCCCCGTCAGTATTTCCCCTTTCCACTTCTCATTTCTCCTCCCCTGACTACAGCAAGAGCATGAAAGTCAGAACAAGGTCTTGCTAATCTAGTGCAGCCCAAAATAAAACCTTGCGTATTAGGAGATGAGAAATGATTGCATTACTGACATACTAAATAGTCCACGTTTTTTCTGCAACAAATGGTGCCCGTTGAATGTGTTGACTACAGTAGCAATACCATGAGATGTAGGTTTCATCCTTTTTTATAATAATACCTGATTAATATTTTACCTTTTAATGATGCCACTGTTACCTGATACAAACTAAAGAAATCACAGAAATATATATGCAAAAAAGAAATAAAAGCTGTCTGCTTAGCTCACTGCACTTGGTATATTGTAGTCAGTCCTGTTAAAGGGACACTGTTGTCTTTAATTTCAAGCAAACATGCAATTTTCTCAAATATGATGTGAAATATTTTGAAGTGCTCTTCTTCAGCACTGACATTTACTATGTGCATTATAGACAGGACCATAAAAAGTGGCAAATGAATTTCACTTCTGATTAGAGTTGCTGTTTTGGGGCAATTTGAGTTTTGAGCTATCGAGCATTTGCTGTGCCTGTGCCTATGTCTTTCAAGGTGTGTGGGTCAGACTCTGGGGAAAGAGCACGGGACAAGCTCAGTGGGGTGTTCTCAGCTGACAGTGTCTCTTTAACTATAGTATTTAAAATATGCCATGTGTTTCCAGGCTTATCCCAAACACTGTCAATCCCCTCCACACAAGGGATGGCTGCTTAAAATATACCTATGTTGCTTAGGCTATCAGGGGCATCATAAAAGTCAGAAGCTTGATTTTGTTTCTCTGGTTGCATGACTCACTTTAATGAGGATCCCATTACATGTGAACAGGAATGTTTATATCTGTAAACTTTTCTGATGGGAATTGCTCTTTTTCATGCACTTTCTCCTGGAGTAGCGGGTTGCACATTTCTCTGGCTGGCATTTTCCCGTGGTTGCAACATATCTATCTAATAGCTGTCCTTTGTGACGATGGCACGTTTAGTGAAAAATTTTGTATGAAATATGCTGTTGATATGATCTAACACCCAGAGAACATCAAGACCAGCCTCGGAGAGTAGTTTTCATAGCAGCTTTAGCACAGCTCAAAGGCTAAGAGCTACACCTTTGGTGCTGAGAGTTTGTAATGAGAATTACAAGAGAATTGCAATCCCTTTGCAGAAATATGATCACACAGAAAGTCATGTCCTCCTCAAAAGACTTATTTTTAATGTACTTGGTGAGATCTTTGGATTTTGTGCCACCTATACCTTTGGTCAGACCTTCACTGGGTCCCATCTAAAGCCCCTCATGTTCAGGTGGGAGCCAACAGGTCCCCCCCAGGTCCATCTTGTAGCAGACATGTATGTCCAACATGATGCTGAGCTCAGCAGGATGCTGCCCACAGTGAGGGAGTCCCAGGACTGATGTACTTACCACCCACTAGTGTGACGATAGGGTGGGAGCTCAGGCCATGGGAATGGCTTCATTTTGATAACCAGTAAGTATGCCTACCTGCAAAAATGTGTTTAACCAACTAACTGGTCTGAGCAGAGAGCCCAAGGTTTCAAGTGCAGTGAATTATTTCTAACCATGGGTAGAGTCACTAATGTATGGGTGAATAGATTCATACAGAAACACCACCTTGCAATTGGTGTTCGATGGATATTTTTCTCACTCTGGCCAAATTCTTCAGCCAGTTGTGCCTGTCCAGCCCCTGCAACTGAGAGATGGCCCAGAGTAACTGGGGGATGAGGCGTGTAGAATGAAACAGCAAGGTAATAGTTCTGAGTGTCAACGTTAAGACCTTTTGCAGGGAACAAGTTGAGAGGAAGGCAGGTGCAAAGGTCTGGCTTTCCAAAAGCCTGTCATCAAGGGCTTGCTGTGGATTTTGATTTAGTAACAGGAGGCTGGCATTTGAATTGTGGTTTACATTAGAAATAGGCATCAGATCAAACGATTTGTTAAAAAATAGACCATTTCCAGAGAATTGTTTCTAAGCCTTTATGTAGGGATGCATGAACAGGGTGAGCGCATCTCTTACCTGGCACCAAGAGGGAATTTGTCTTAACTTTTTGGAGTGAAAATGATACTGAAACCATCACAGCTCAGGATCTGGGACTCTAGCCAGGGATGTGTCAGTAACATGCAAAGCAGTACTTAAAAAAAGACCCAAAGTTCAGACTCAGCATTTTGCAAGGCTTGCTGGGTATTTCTGATCTCAGGGTTTTCTTCTGGCAAGATCTCCTGCAACATAACAAAAGTTTATGTCTAGGTTCAACCCCCATCCAGATAAAGTAATGGAGTCGTAATCTGTTTATAGCTCAGACCCTTATGTATCCCTGCTAGGGACTTGCAGAGGGACAGGAGAAACTGGTGTGACCGTGTTTTTTACTCTGTATTCAGTTAACCAGACTGCTGCTCATCTCTGCATTGCCTCCCTGAAGAGCTAAAGCAGTACCTCAGGGCAAGGGTTCACCTCTGCAAGGCAGGGGAGGTTGCAGGATTTGTCCTTGACAGCTCTATGGCTGCACCTTTTCTTCTGCTGCTTCTCCAAGTCCACATCTTGTCTCTTTTGCACTCAGGATCGAGCTGCGGGCACTGAGCAAGATTTCTCCAGGGGATGAGCTGACTGTTTCCTATGTGGATTTCCTCAACGTGAGCGAGGAGCGGCGGAAGCAGCTGAAGAAGCAATATTACTTCGACTGCACTTGTGAGCACTGCAAGAAACAGATCAAGGATGACCTGATGCTGGCGGTGAAGGCAGGGGAAAGCAAGGTATGGTTTGTCCTGTTGTCTCCAAACCCAGAGGCAGCTGTGTCTCCTCCACCAAGGTGTCTGCATGTCTCTGTGATCATGGTTCCTCAGCCCAGGGACACTCTCAGTAGGAACAGAATCAGATTTTGGCAGAAGCCTGACTAGCGCCAATGTAAAAAATGAGAACAGAACTGGGCCTTGATTGAGCACAACACCAATTCAAGTCTCCTGTGTAAGGTCAGTTTAATCCCTATTATGCAACATAAGTGCAGTTTTTAATTTAAAAAAAATGCCCACAAAAGTTGCCTTTAACTCTAACCTAGAAGTCCATCAAGGGGGGAATGCTAAAATATTGGAAAATTAGGTCTAGAGCTGAGAAAACTGTTAGAATTTAGATTTTGGATTTTTTAGAGGAACTGAAAGGGAATCAAAGTTTTGACCAGCAGAAAAGAAGATGTGTTGTAGGTGATTCGTGGTGACAAGATTAACCAGTGCTGCTGAAGCTGTGCAGTTTGTAAAGCGTGTGCCATCATACTGACTCCAGGAAGGTGGGAAGCCTGAACTTCCAGATCCTCCTTTCAAAGGCCAGTCACAGGGAGTTTGTACCACCGCTTGATATTTGTGCATGGTTGCTGTGGGCAGACTGACTGTGAAGAATTAACACGTTCGACTGTTCATTTTTAAGTAATCTGTGTTTTCCTTGAAGGTGTCACAAGGAGGGTGTAAGGCTGTGTCTTTCTGTCAGCAGTGGGATGTGTTGCTTGGCCAGCGGCTCCAGTTTATGAGCATGCGGGTAGATCTAAGAGTTTCTTTTTGGTTCCTTTGTCCAGGCATATAGTTGCTCATATTTTTTGTCCTTTGTAGCAGTGTTAGCTTAGGGGGTTTCTACTCCTTCAAGCTTTACAAAGTGTATAAGGGAAGACAAATCAAGGCTGGACAATTTAATGTATTATCAAGTCATTGATCCATACTATTGAGCAGTTATGTAGTGAATCAAATGAATCAGTACAGCTCAGGGGATGATGTGGTCCAGGACAAAACAGCAAAGGTGAGGTGAGGAGCTGTGATCTCAGTCCACCACTGCCACCAGGAGAGGCCCAGAGAGCTGCACCTTCGTGGGAAGGAGTACAAAATACTCAGCCTCCAGCTCAGCAGTTACCAGAAAGCCAGTCTCAGTCCTGTGACTATTTCATATAGGTGGCAGTGAGGAAAGGCTGGATATTGCAGAGTATAAGTCTCTCCTTGAGAAAGGTTTAGGGAAATGGGATCAAACTAATATCAGGGAGCTCCCATGGGAGACAGGACATGGGACTAGAGGAGATGCTTTGTTTGCTGGGTCAAGTTCTCCTCTAGTGCAAAAGACCCTGCTGCATAACCCTGTTACTAAATATAAAGCTTAATTTTAAAGCTAATCCTGACTGCTGAAACTCCCAACTTCTAATGTAAAGCTGTCCCAGAACTCAGTCATCTGATGCAGAAGAATTTTTATGTGACTTTCTGTAAAAGTATTTTTGAACACCTCCTCCAGTGAACAGCATAAAAAAATCTCAGCTCTCATTCAACACCTCCTATCAATCCTTGACCGAGCAGTGAGATGCACCATCCTTTTTTCATGAGCATTAGAGGTGATCTGCAGCATGCAGCAGTAAGACATACGCACTTTTGGGTAATTGTCCACAATCTGAAATGTTTGTATAGAAAAAGCCTGTAACTATGCAAGGTACATGATTTCAGCTATTAAAAATACACTCCATCCACAGACAATAAGTATCCAGAGTGACCTCACCCTCAGAGCATGTCTGCTCACTGCTGGCTCTATCGTATTTTCTGAATTCAGGCTCACTTGCCCAAGAACAGCAATGTTCACAGCTGCGTGGAAAAAGCGCTATGAATATATTCAAGATTGACAGCTTGCATCCTCAACAGCCGCTCTGACCTCCAGTCCTTCACCCCTTCCAAATAGTAGCAGAGTTCCCATGGTTTATAATGGCAACAGATTTAGGGGTCTAGCAAGTGCAAGAGAGTATTTTTATTAGACAAAGCCACTGTGGAAGTTCTGTTTAGAGTACCTATTCTGGGAGTCTTTACTCAGACAGCATAGCAATGTGATTTGAACTGATGTTAACAATGTGTTTGAATGTTAACTAGAACACCCTGTGTGCTGCTCAAACAGCTGCCAAAATCTGATTAGCTATGACAACTTCAGTCTAATAATATAGAATAATAAATCATAACACATACATAGGTATCCATAAATAGATGGGAGGTATATGGCTCTGAAAAGCTACTGGGTTTCCTTCCATACTAAGCTTTAAAGAGGTTTTCCCAACTAGCTGAATTTCACCAATTCCTCATAAATCTAATTGATCAGATGTGGGAAAAAGACCATGGGCAGTACTACAGTCCTGACTCCAAATCTTTGCATCCTTCATTGCAACATTGGGTCTCTGCTTTTAATCTGCACCCAGAGGTCCTTCCTGACATGCCTCTGCTCTGGCTCTATTGCGTGTCTCCAGACCAGGCTCTTCCTGCAAGCTCCTGGAGTCACGCAATTGTGGGCTGATTTCAGATTTCCGATATATGAAAAGCAAGGTCATGATAGCTAGAATAGTTTGAAAATGCAAATTTGAAAGGCTCAGAAAAGTGGAAGATGAATGATGGTGCTGGGTATCATAATGTTATATTTCAGCATTAAATGAAGGAAGAGGAGGCAGCTAATTCTGAGCTGGTTAGAGTTTTGTCAGGCACGCCGAGATGTGCATCATGTCTTCAAATACATGGTTAAATCCAAACTTCTTTGAGGTGTGTGGGAAAACACATTTCACTTTCTGGATGCAGCTGGAATCTGAGGTCAACCATCTTATGGTATTTGGATCTAATGAGCATTTCTCAGAGTGGGTAAAATTAAGTGATCTTTCATATCCTTACTCCACACATCTCTCATTCAAGACCCTAATTTCTCTCAAGCAGCTGCATTAGGAGCACCTGATACACGCTCACTAGTGGATTTCACAGCCTCTTTGACATCTCATGAGACTTCCCATTGCAGGGTCAACTCTGTCCCTTTTCCAGAGGAGAGAATTGAGGGGAAGAATCGAGGAACCCAGTTATGTGTGCCAGTTGTATGTGGCTGCTACCCTGATGAGCACCCCTCTTGTTGAATTCAGCAGGAGCCTCATCTCTCAACTTGGTATCAGGACCATTTCAGCCCAGTCTTGGGCTGGTCTGAGAGGCATGCTGGGGTATACAACCAGTTGTAGGAAGTCGTGGATGATGTGGCAAGCATCCTGCTGAGCTGATTTGGATTCCCAGACTGTGGAACAAGCGTCCCTTCAGCCAGGGTATTTTAAGATGTGTCAGGCAGTGCATTTTCTTCACCGTTTTTCCTAATGTTGTCCCCAGCCTTCTGCAGACACAGTGAAGGAGGTCATCCAGTTCTCCAAAGACACTCTGGAGAAGATCAACAAGGCCCGCATGGAGGGACTTTACCATGAAGTGAGTCCTGGTACTTTTACTCTCTTGATGCATATACACACTGCCAGGAAAAGCAGGTCTTGCTCTCTCTGTGATTTAAGGATGAAACAAACCCCCACTGCTGTAATCTGAATGTCCTCTTGTTCTTCCTGCCCTCTTGGCAGCTCAAATTGTGAAAGCAGACACTGGTTTCTGCCCTCTGTAAAGCACAGCTGTGACTGAGACAACGTCCCACGTTGATTTATTTCATAGTGATGATACAAGGAGATTCAGGTGACTTCCAGCACCTCTAATTGTCACAAGTGATGAACCAAGAGCCTTCTGGGTGAAAAACATGAGTTATAGGGCAAGTGTAATGAGTCAGCTCTGGCAGGTAACCTCATAAAAAGAAGGACAGTGATTTTGGGAGAGGGACAGGACAGTCAGGAGACTTGCCACATTGAGCTGTGGGCTATGTTTGCTTTTTCACCTCCTGGCTCCTATACGTTGATCATTTGTTGCATGCCAAGGATAGGTTTGTAGTGTGGGAGACCTATGTCCCACCTGGAGCACAGGCCACAAGGGCAAAGAGTGAGAGAACTCAAGCCACTTCTTCCTTTCTCCCTCTTTTGCTGACACAGGAAATACTTAATTGTTCTCTTCAGAGTATAACAGCTCTGGGAGAACGTTCCAGGTTGAGCAACAGCCTTTGATTTTGAACTTACTTAGGGGAAAGGCTGAAGCCCCCCCGAGCAGAGATCTGGACATTGAGTCATGGGTAGGTGCAGATCTGACACAGCTGAGCAGACAGGCATGGGAGAGTGCAGCACGATGTCTCCAGCCCCAGGGGGTCATTAAGAACATTCATGACATCAAATGCTTGTAGGAGGTTGGGTGGATGACACTGGGGCAAAAGAGTCCCGCAGACACTTGGTGTCTGATAAAACCCAACTTTCTGGGGTCTTTCTTCTCCTGAACAGTAAACATCACTTATTCCTCACCATTTTTCTGAATGTAACCCTGGGAGAGAAAGCTTTGAGCACTGACCATTTTTCTAGACTGATGTTTCTTGACAAATCAAAGCATACTGTATCTTCCCCAGACTTCACAGAGACTGACTTGGCCTCTAGGACTGGTATGGACCATGCAGCCCACAGGGCTTTGGTGTGGCAGCTTCGGGGCCAAAAGTGTTCTGACTCGCCCTTCCTCTCCTCGCTTCCCCTGGGTGCAGGTTGTGAAGTTGTGCCGCGAGTGCCTGAAGAAACAGGAGCCTGTTCTGGGGGACACAAACATCTACCTCCTGAGAATCCTCAGCATTGCCTCCGAGGTGCTCTCCTACCTCCAGATGTTTGAGGAAGCAGCTGACTATGCTAAGAGGATGGTGGATGGCTACCTGTACGTCTGTGCCCTATTTGTGACAGCTCTCTGTGGTTATGCAGTGTTAGGCAGTGCATTAGAGAAATAATTTTCTTAGTCTGCTCCCATCAGGGCAGTGGTGCTGGCATTCAGATTAGGACCTGATTATATCACCAGACAGAGAGGGACCCCTTCTTAAATGCACAAGAGTTCGCAAACATTGTAATGGACTAAACTGTAACTGGTAAATGGTTTGGGTACATCTTTCATTAGCCTTTTAGTTTTGACTCAGAAACATCTCAGGGCTGCCCTGGTAGCAAGACACAGAGTCTAGATACAGGACAGAGAGGCTGTCACTACAGGAGATGCTCTGTTCCCCTGCACTCTGCAGGAAGGAGGAGTTGCAGAAAAAAGAGAAACCGTGTCAAAGGGCTGTCACTCAGGATATCACTTCACTCTTGAATAATACATGGATTTTTGTCTTGGCTAATTAGTATACACTAAATAGCTGTGAAAAAAGCTTAGTGAGAATAAAGAAATTCAGGTTTAGTTTACATAGATTCTGGGATAACCTCACAGTAAAAATGATTTACTTTATTATCACTGAGGCTTTACTACAGGACTGATGAGTATTAAAAAGAAAAAAAAAAAAAAAAAGCGGAAACCATAGTGAAGAAAGAGAAGCCTATTTTGTCATCTCATTCACACTCCTGCTGAGAGCATCTCGTACCCATTACTTGTGGTTTTGGTCATTTCTACCCCAAAAGACCTGTGATATTTTGTTCTTTTTTTGAGGGGTAACAGAGTCACCTCCCTGGCTTGGAGGCCTGACAAGCCACTTCATGTCTCAGCCTTGGCACTGAGCTAACTGAATGATACAGAGGAAATTGCTTCCCCTCCCTGTTCCTCAGTTTTTCAGTCCAGAGTGAGGACTGCAGTAATTTTCTTCCTTGCTTTAAGACTTTGTGTATTGGCTGTAGGGGAGTGATCTGACAGTTCCTGGAGGCAGGGATACATCTCCAAGGGGTGAGCTGAACATTTCTGGAGTTTCTGAAACCACCTGTTTCTCTCCCCACTTTGAATGAGAAGCTGGTGGTTGTTACATTTTCAATTTAGGCACTGCATTAAGCATTGAGTTACTGCTGTCTGGGCCGTAGGGTCAGATCTGGGTTTTGTTTGTGCCAGAATAATGTGGAATGACAGGGCTTGGCTTGCTCCAACCCAGGTGTCCAACTTTCCCCATTCGCAGGTTGTTCATCCTCTTTCGCAACAACTCATGTCCTCGTATAACTCATGTCCTCATGTAACTCATGCCTGCCCCTTTCTAAGCAGGGCTGCACATTTTGGTGGCACTGAATGCAATAGGCTCTTCACTTGAGTAAACAGTCTGCACTTTGGCAACCGTATCATGTCATTGACAAACATTTGTGAACCCAGATCTTTCCTGAACTAAAATTACTCAATGTTTTTCCAGGAAAATATATCATCCCAACAATGCACAGCTGGGGATGGCCGTGATGCGGGCAGGAGTGACTCACTGGCATGCTGGTCTCATTGAAGCCGGACATGGCTTGATCTGTAAAGCTTATGCCATTCTCCTGATAACCCATGGACCTTCCCACCCAATTACCAAAGACCTGGAGGTAGGTGTCATCTCCTGTGTTGTTTCTGCTGTCTGTCTGGGCAAAATTACATTCAAGCTGTAGAAACAACGCATCCATAAGAGCTGAGAGTTGTATCAAGTACAGATTGCTTCTTACTAGTACTATGGTTTTCTCTAGATTATGTCACAGTCTGCTGGGAAATGCATGTCCCTTCCTATGGGAAATTTTCATCCCTGAAAAATAGCTTTTATTCTGCACCAGGACATATATTAAAAGTAGCTGATGAGCCCTTGGATCTTCTTTGAAAGTGATATGCCCAAGGACAGAGCTTCTCATTCTTCAAACAGCCTGATTTTGCTGCTTTTGGATGGATGACATTACAATTTGACTATGTCAAATTATGTATCATGGATGTTCCCAGTTTACCAACTGATTCTCTTTAGCAGTGTCCGTTCTTCTTTATTTACCACTCCCCAGTCTTTCTAAGCTGCAATGTATTTTTTCCTCAGATGAATGATAGGTGCATTTCCTAGCTTAGGGTCAAGAGCTGCAGATCCCAGGGAACTACATCCATGCAGATACAATGAACTATTTACAATTGCAGCTGTGGATCTGTAATTTCTTTAGCACTCATCTGATGTGACCTGTTGGCTTTACAGCACTCTCCTTTATTACACCCCAAAATTACACGATACCAAATTGAATCCTTTATTGATGTCTTAGTCCCCGTTATAGCAGAGCTATAACCTTTATTAATGCAATTTGATATCAGCAGAAAAATGAGTAGCTAGTACCTAAATCCAAGCTGTCTGTTGACTGTTTCCCTATATATAGCAGAGGGAGAGACCCCACCTCCATTTCTGTATTTCCCTTCCCATTTACTTTAGGAGGAAAATAGTGGATATATGGCACATGCTTATTTCTGTGCTCCTAAACCAAGGGTTGAATAAACTCACAGACAGGTATAAAAAAGATTTTCTAAAATCCCTTCTGAGCCTCTGGTATAATGGAGCACTAGGAATGACTCTGCTCGTGGTGAATCCTGGGATGCAGGGGGTGCAACTGTGACGTGGTCGAAGAGGGGCTGAGCATCCTTCTCTTCCTCCCCTGACTCCTCCCACAGGAGGTGACCCCCACCTCGGTGATGGGTCACACCGAGGGTCGGGCCCATGGTGTGGATGGGAAGCACAGCATCGCCTCTAGACCCTGCATCAGGTTTGGGAGCGTGAGGATTCCCAGCAGCCTGAGAAAGGGCTGCGTGCGGGAAGGACTGATGCCTTCTTCACCTTCACAGTACACAGGCAACCAGGTCTGAGAAAATAACTGGATATCTCTGTCCAGTCAGCTTTGTTCCTACTTGCGGGACACCTAGAAGAAGGTCCATCAGTCATTACAGGGCCTAGGACATCCCTGAAGGATTGTCCCCATTTTTAGGCAGCGTGTTATTCACTTGCTTCGAGATCCCCTGTGTCACAGGCTTTGTAACCTGTTGTGTCCCCCAGGTCATGCGTGTCCAGACAGAGATGGAGCTGCGCATGTTCCAGCAGAATGAATTCATGTATTACAAAATGAGGGAAGCTGCCCTCAAAAACCAAAAGATCCAGGTCATGCCTGAACCCAGCAATGAAACCTCACCAGGCCTCTTCCACAAGAAGGAATAAACCCCAAGCTTGACACAAATTCATGCCCGTGGGATAACATCGCCTGTGGCACCTCTGAACATTGGGAATGAGATATAGGAATGTGATATATCCATAAGGATTGTTTCCAGTGGCACCAATGTGAACATGGACCTGCTGGGGGAGAGTCCTGAAAAATCTTCTGAGGGCTCAAAGCAGAAGATATCTTGTGTGTCAGAAACAACATCCTTTTTCTACCACTAGTATTAAAAATCAAAGCAAAAAAAACATTTATAAAATTATTTACATCCTTATTGGAAACCTGTTTCTCTCTACACAAGTCCTGATCCTGAAGTCCATGGTTAAATTTTAATTTGATTATTTCCCAAATGTGTTTTGTTTTGTTTTGGTTTGGTTTTCTTTTGTGGTTTGTTTGTTTGTTTGTTTGTTTTTCCTATCACTTCCTTGTGATGACAGAATTTCTTTCCAATGATGTCCACGGGTGGTTGATCAAGGGATGGTAGAAGTGAGAAGCTGGTTCCAAAAAGTGTCATGTATGCCTGTGGGCACTGAGTGCAAACTAAGACCCACAGATGGTGTTTTGTGTAAAGTGGTGTTTTTCTGATAAAAAAACTGCTGAAAAATGATTCTGCAGCTGACACAGGTGCAATATCAAACTGTAGGTACTTTGCAAGCAAGACTAAGTGGAATTCATACATCAGAATAAATTAATTAGGGTAAATTAGTCTCCTTAGTTAAAAATCAGAAAATGCTTGCAGTGGTGACAGCAGATGGACATGAGATGAGTCTGTGCCAGAAGCCAGTTGCACTGCTGTGGTACACTGGCTGTGTGGATTGCTCTAGCTGAAAAAGTGGTTTCCAGGGAGGGGGATCCACCTTTGCTCACCTTCAGGGTGAGCTGGGGGCTCTGATGCCTTTCAGCACCTGCCTTTCAGCTTAGATAGGTGCTTAATTCAATTTTGCACTGAGCAAAAAAGGGATAGTCCATGAACCAGCTGCCAGTGGGCAGCCAACAGAACCAAGGAAAAGTCTAAAGGCAATGGTTGGATTTCTAGATAAAAAAGGGTCCTTGCTGTCTGCCCACCTACCGCAAAATCCAACTGGTTTGCTCCAGACCTTCAGCGGCAGCCAAGAGATGAGAAGAGATGGTTTGTTCAAGACTCCCCTACTTGTTCCTCAGCAGAATAGCAAGAAAACAAAACCAGGGCTTTTCCTCTTTGACATTTCTCAGTGATTTTTCAGATTTTTTTTATATCTTAGATGAGTTCACTGGAGATCAACATCTTCTTTTTAGGTGCTGTTGAGCTAAGTCCTTCCATTTGCCCATCTTATGCCCTGTGTGACAATCTATTTTGGTTCAGTTCCCAGCATGAGGATCAATGTCAACCTGTAACACGAAAACCTTCCCTGAGGAGAAAGGAGTCATGGGAGAGATGCACGTGTGGATAAATTGGTCTTTTAGTGGCACGTGTTGGGGTTGTGGGAGATGGGGAAGCACTTGTGGTGTTTTCCTAGCATCCCGATCAGCTTTGAGCAGTTGTAAGAACATCATTCCAGCTAGGTATATCACACCAGCCATATACCCATTTCCCCGTGATGATTCCATCATCACCCAAGCACAGGGCTTGGAAAAGGCAGCTAAGAAGAGTTTCTTCTCCTGTGCGCATCAGAAAAGCAGATCTACATCCAGCCTGCAGTGCCAAGCAAGAGCATGGGAGATGACTTTGGTGCTCCTTCTGTGTCTACACTGTGAACAACCATTGCCCGTCTCCTGCCAGGAGAAAAAAAAAGCCTGTATTTCACCCTGGAAGAAGTGTTCCATTCCAGTTCAACCCAATTTATCAGGCGCAATTTGGGGCAAAACACACATTGGACCTCTGAAAACTGTCTGGGGACCTCTTGCTGGTGGGAAGGGATGGGGATGGAGTGGCCAGAGCCTGTAGAGCTGGATCCTGTTGCAGAAGTGTGAGGATGAAGATGGTGGTTGGGACATCTGAACTGACCCCCTCCTCGTCGCTTCCCCAAGGCAGCTTTCCAGGCAGGATCACTGACATCTCCTCAAGCCCACCTAAACCACCCCATCCTTCGGTCCTGCCTGTCACCTCGTGGTCACTTGGCCATGTTTGTAAGGAATGTGAACAGAGCCCTTTCCTTGCCCAGTGGTCCTCCACCCACTCAGCCAGGGCAACCGTGGGTGCACAACCCACCAGGACATCCCCAGCAGGATGCTGGCACCCGTCCCCATGGAGCACATCTCAGAGGGTCACTCAGTGGTTCTGAGCCTGCGCCCCAGCCTGGCTCCATTCGCTGACATCAGCACAGCCTTGGCTCAGCCTGTTGCCCCATTTCTACCAGGGCTTGCATGACTTTGAGAGGCTTGCATCTCTTTATAGCAACAGTGAAGAGGTTGATGGTAACGAAGAGGCCTTTAATACAAATTTTACTTTAATAGACACATTTTACACAGTAAAATGATTGATATGTGCAGGGTTTCTAGATTCTCTTGCTGATTCTCTTGTAGGTGAGGTCTCCCATGGTCAGCGTCTGAAAAACAAATGGTGACTGTTATGTTTTCATGGTGCTTGGCTCCAAACTCTACTTGGAAAAGATCTGGTCTTGCAAATCAAAACAAGACTAGTCCCCAGACTATCTCCTATGAACTGAATTATTAAATCTTTGGGTTTCTTCATGAATACCCCAAAGCTGGTAAAGATGATCTGGAAACTGGGATCAGTCTGCTGCACCTCTCTTTTTTAAAAGTACCAGGCCCAGACACATAACTATACCTCTGAATGGGTGAGACCATGCCCTCATTACATGGAACTTTGATCAGCAATGCCTACTGGGGTCTCAAAGAGTGCTTTTTAGATTGGCCTATAATGAAAAACTGTTTTCACTGCTTGGCCAACTGATCAACTTTGTATGCAGAGCCTGAGTGCAAACGTGCTCATCTGCAGCACATCCCTAAGGTCCCCAGCATCTCTGTAAGCTTTCTAGGGCCAGACTCCTGAAGGCAGCTCTATGCACCATTACTCCAGCCATTGCCCTTCTCTTCTGCACTTACATTGGTGATGGTGTCTCCGTTGAGTTCGGTGACAGATTTCAGCCCTTTCAGGTTTGCGACCAGTCTGTTGTTACCCTCCATCTGAACAATAGCCTGGTAGGAGGAGACAGAGGCATTAATGTTATTGCTGGAGACCATCTCAAACCCTGCATTTTGCCCTTCCCCTTCTGTACTGAATTGCCACCATCCCCTCTGTAAGCTTTGTGGAGCAAGCTGTTCCACTGGTGATTTTGGTTTTCCTGGAAGGAGAAGAGGAGGTTGTGCTGGTGGTGACTACAGCACAACAAGAGTTCTCTACAAGGCCTCTACAAGGATGTGATTTTGCTGCCATATCTACCTCTCTCCCTTACAAATTGAGACTCACTCATGGCTCCCACACTGTTAGATGTCAGGGCAGGGATCCTTGGCATCCCTTAGCATCACACCAACACATCAGGAAGGCTCTTCACCTTGCCAGTGATGGTGTCTCCGTGCAGCTCTGATGCTCCTTGGGACAACTCCTCTGCAGCACCCAGACCAAGAGGAGGGCATGCCATATCATCTCCTCTCCACCACCCACCTATTGCACATTGCTGCAGTAACCTCCTTTGGGGTGGGGTGGTGGCGAGCTGGGCAACAGCATGGGGCTGGGGAGAGTCTCAGACAAGGTGGGAAACTATTTAAGGAGCTTTCAGAAACTCAGTCATGGTTGGAAAGCTCTCAGAGGGACAGGCACCTCTGCCGAGTCTCTGCCCTGCCAGGAACTGCACATCTAAAAAGGCTATGAACAGCACCAGCACCCCTAGGGCAGCTGTCACTGATCATTGAAATTATTCAAATAAATAACCCAGCAAAAAACATTTCTGTTCATCTCTCTGTCTAGCTATAAGACATGTTCATCTTCTCTTGAGTTGCTGATTTACAGGTGGTAAAACTCTTCTAATAGCCACTTCCCTCTAGTTTATGCTCAAGGGACTTCAGTGATGTTGGAAATCATGATACAGCCAGTATGGCTCTCAGAGCCCAATTCACTGGGGCCTTTTTTTGGGTCATCATCCCCCCTGCTTTCAAAAGTTCCTGCAATATCATTTTCTCCCAAGACAGAGGTGAGAGGCAATATTTGCTGGCGGTGCTACCTTGACATTTTATGAACCACTGGAAACTAACGTCTGGGAATGGGAGCTGACCCGATTTCAAGGGTGATAAATCTTCACCTTGCCAAATCATCTCACCCAGTGTAAACAGAATCAGTGGAAAGGGCTAGAAGAGAATCTAAGAGCTGCTGGAACTTCAAAGGAGAGGTTTATTGGTTTATAATTCATTATCTGACTTTCCTTCACTACCTTTAAGTCAACGAAACAAAGGTGGGGGTATGTTTTGTGTTGCAACATGACAGAAAGTCAACACTTTTCCACCTCAAATCTTTCAGACCTTATACTGTCAGAAAAAATTGCCAAAGCGTCTCTATCTTCCTTTTCCAAATGGGCTATTAAAACATTAGCTTCCAGTGGTTTCCAAATTGGCTATTAAAATATCTTTAGAAATGCAAGACTTCATCTGAAAAAGTGCTGGTTGGGGAGCTTGTTTTGTAAAAGCGAAGAGGGGAGACAGGAACTTCAGTCTTGGGCTCTGATTTTCTCAGGAAGGTGGCTCAGAAATGGCTGTAGTATTTGGAAATGTGTCCCTAAGAGAATTGTTGAGGTCCTGCAGGGAGCAGGGCAGTGGATGTCACATCTGAAGACTTACTCTCAGCAATTAGCCCCTTCCCATTACATTAAAGCATGCATGCAAACTGTGAGAGATAGAACCAGACTGGGGAATTACCCAGGTCTTTTCCCTGTGCCAGCTTTAACACCCATGGTCTGGTCATTTCCTTTGCTCAAGTGCAGAGGGAATGGCTGGAAAAGAATTTTAATGTCCCTGATCCCCCACAGCCCTGGGAGAGGAGGAGCTGATCACTCACCTTGACTTTCTCTCC